GGGCACCCTCTTTATCACATGGTCTGCGGAGATAGCATAATCATATGCCTTCGTTGCAGTAGCTGTTTGGGTGTTTCCGTGAGAGTCACAAATCTCCCCCACCCAGGCGTGTCACGAAGGAATACACGATCTACAGAGGGAGGTCCAACACGACAAGAGAGAACCTCTAGATCAAGAAGCCTATCGGGAAGGTCTGAGTGGCATTGTGATACAGTCCCGCACAATATGCTGCATCTCTTTAATTGCACAGCCAAAACTACCCAACACACTCCAGAAGATCTCTGGCTACAGCTCATCAAAGTAGCCGAATTTCTAAACCTGGAGCTGGAACCAGATTAGCAGAACGCAAACACTTGCATGTACTACTGCTATAACAACAACAACCATCGAACTCAGCACGCGCAACCCAAGAATGGTTGCAAAATAAGGTTCCTCGCTTCATTTCCAGTGCACAATGGATCGATTTTGGTCGATCACCTCGAGCAAGCGCTTCGCCGGAAATGGGTCAAAATACCGCAGAGTAACATTCGGGCAGCGTGTGATGGTTTCATTGGCCGATTGAAGGCCATAATTCGTGCCAAACAAACAAATTTAAACTTTTTTTAAAATTTGATGCTATTTCCGACAATTTTTGCTTCCATTCAATAAAATTTAAAAAAAATGTAAAAATTATTGGCGTTCGACTTTGTTGCAGTTGATTTATCTCACCTTGTATATTAACGCATAAATAAATAAATATATACGCATGTAATAAATAACAACAAATTATTACGGAAACTACGGAAGTAAATAATAAAAATAATTGATAAAGAAGATTTCATAATTTTTTTTTAATTCTTTTTTTTTAAATTCCGCCTTTATTGCATCATGCTATATTAGTAAATAATTTGTCTATTTGTTTTTCTACACTCCATTCCCTTTGAAATACCACTTGCCTAAAAGTATGCTTTATTTCTTTGCACATTTAACAAAACCGTTTGATAACAGGGTGACACACTATACTTACCTTGGAAAATGTTGAATTTAAATTCAATTCCATAAATTGCGGCATTAAACGTGTCCTCAAGATTTCATTGAAGCAATTATTTGGTTCCAAAAATATGGAAGCATTACTGACTCTCAATAAATTGATCAAGCGATTTTGGGCTCCCTCCCAGTTGTAACGTCTGCATCCCTCGGTATGCAACAGAGAACAATCTGTAAAACATAACTCAATGACTTTTAAACAAATTGAAACACAATTTCATTATCTTACCAAAACTCAAAGAATTCGGATAGAAATGCTCCTCGAAACGTTGCATTGAATTAAAATGTGTTATCGAACCTGGCTGGAGATATGTATTCAAACCATTACATTCACCATTGAGAATATAACCTGCCAAATAACTTGGCTGTTGCCCATACATTAGGGCGGCAGGCATTTCTTCTTTGTACCATTGATTCAAATCGAAAATCAACAGCTTATTTTTGCCTTCCAACACGGAATACCATGATATGGCACACAGGCAATTGGCATCCTCTTCGCTGTGGCTGGAGTGTGTGGAAATGGCCTGGCATGCTAAGGCCTCACTTTTGGTTGCCTCCAGAGGCAGTTCTAAGCGTACAGTGCTGGTGAGAAATGACTAAGGGAAAAATAATTAAATTCGCTTTTTTGTTTGTTTCCAATATAAGTCCCTTCCTTTCTCACCTCAAAATAATATTGCCCATTTTCAGTTACATCCCCCCTTCCATTCTCCTCCTCTTCCACTGCAATCCGTTTCTCGTACATTAAACTATGCAACATGGCATAGAGATTTTCTCCATTCTCATGCAGTGTCCATATGTACAGACATGGTCGGGGATCATCTGGTGGTTCTAAATAATCAATTTTAACCAACGGCGACATTGCAATTTCCGGCTTGGGTCTTGCTATATAAAATATTTGCATTTCAGCCAAATCGTAGAGGGCCAATCGACCATCTTCGAGGCCAATGGCAAGACCCATAATTAAATCGATGGATTGTATGCATTGTATGGAACAGGGACTTTCAATGACTGAAAAGCATAAAAGGGAGGGAAAAAATAAAAACAAATGAGAAAATGTTAATTTTGCTAATTTTTTCCAAATGAAAAACGACAGTGCAGCTAATTTTAAAATAGAAATAAGCCAGGTTAGTTAAATTTTTAAATGAAAAAGTTCTATTTGCCGAATGTTTTTTCCAGCAGATAAATTTGTCAAATTTTGGGAATAAATCAATACAGACAACATTCTCTAGTGTAAAACTCAATTCAGCGAAGTTTCTTTAAAAGCTTACGATTAAAAAGATGTTTCTCAACAAAAGCAGATTGAAGAATGTAGAAATTCGCTGAAAAACTATTGATAAAAGAAAAATATATTTTTCATGGTTTTTATATATTTAATTTAATGTTTTTATTAAAACTGAAAAATTGTATTTTTTGCAAGAAATATTAATTTATATCAATTTTTAACAAAATTTTAATTTTGATAGAAAAATATAAATTTTTAACAAAAAAAAATAATTTTGGATAAGAAAAAATATTTTTTTAATTATTTTGTTGTTATTTTTTATATTTATTTAAAAAATGATTTAACTAAAAAAAATCTTATTGATTATTAAATAAAATCATAAACTATTTTAAAACTATTAATTTATTAATTATTTTAATAATATAAAAAATTTTATTAAAAAATGCACTTAAAAAAATATTTTATTTATAAAAATATTATTTTTGTTTCTATTTCCATATATGCCTATCAATCATATACAGGCATGTCACAGAATGTAAAATCGTTCAAGAGTGAAAACGAAAACGGTTTTAGCTTCTCTAAAAAACGGAAAACGCAAAAATTTTGCGTTTTGATATCACTTTCAAAAGCAGGGTGAAATTGAAATATTTAATGATTTTAACGTAAAAAATAAACAGAAGACACATACATTTAACAGAAAATATTGTATTAACCAAATTCTCTTAGAATGAACATGTTTTTGGAATTTATTTTACAAAAAATCTATTATTTGGTGGTGATATCAATCAATATGTTTTCAGTGAACACGAGAACAGTTTAATCAGGATTTGCGGATTGTATAAAAGTGTCGATGGAGTTGGTGGTGCAGTAAGCTTTGCGGATTTTGTAAGTGAATTAGACTTCAGTTGTTCTGAAAAAGAAAACTTTGATTCGTCATCATCTACACATATTCCAAGAACTCGAAAATCAAGTCAATTAGTTTTAAGTGAATCTGAAAACGAAGAGCTTAATTTTTCACCCTCAACTTCAAAGCAGACCACTTCGATTTTAAATAAAAAAGATAGACCAAGATCATGCATTCCAGCTGCTTTTAAAAATGTTTCTACATTGGCAATTGATCCAAGAACACCAACATTGGAAGAAAACCGTTCGCGAACACCTATTCAAAAACGATTTGAAATAAAAGCTTATCGTGTTCTCCGCCATCTACACCAATAAGACAAGTGTCGGGCAGCCTAACAAAAGCAAAACCCACGCCTGCAGTAAAAGACCCCGGGCAAGAACTCCCTCAAACCAAGATCTAAATGCGCTTTTAGTTGAGGAAAATTCTCATTTACAAAACTTGGAAAAATTTGTAAAATTCTAGAAGATAACAGTAAGGAAATGAAAAAACAAACTGAAAAGTTGGACAGGCTTTGTAACATCCTGGAGAAAAAGTATGTGGAAGAGCAGTTACATAATATTGAAATGCAAAAGAGAATGCGTGAACGGAACGAAATGAAACTCAAAATAGTTGAACTTGAAACTCTTAAAAATGCTGTAGAACAGGAAAAAGCAAATACGACTCGTTCTTAACTTTACATTATTTTACACAATGGACTAAAAATGGTGGATCCTTACTCTGCATTTGAGTGAGATAAAGGATCTGATGCGTTCCTCAATGTCCGGCGACGAATTTTTTCAGTAGACCGCTGATTTATTTCTTCATCCATTACAGCAAGTATTGAAGCCCCTGGCATTTTTACTTTTGGTGTTTATATTATTAAAAACCATTTTAAACTCCTTTTTTAATTGTCAATAATTTGTTTACGACTTTTTTTTTTTCATGGAGTTACCATATTTTTATTTCAAAAATGTGAAATGATTTTTTTCCGGATTGGTCAAAACGTACGAGTGCTGAAGAAGCAAAAACAAATCGTAACGATTTGGAAAAGGTGAAATAAATCGATTTCGTAAAATTTCTGTGACATGCCTGATAAAATATAATCTTAAAAACTTATACCAACTATTTTAAAAAAATATAAAGTTTGGGGAAATTATTAATTTTTATAAAAAAAAATAATTTAAATAATTATTATTTTTATAAAAATAATGTTATATTTTATAAAAAACATGATTTAAAAATCGTATATTTTTCTAATTTTTTTTTTCAAAAAAAAAAAATAATAATATAAAAAATAACAATTTTTACAATAAAACACATTTTTTATTTAAAATAGTATTTCGATTACATTTCTATCGAACCATTTTTTTGGGAAACCATTTAAAAAATGGTAAAAATCCCTTTGCGAATACATTTCAAAATCACTGAAAGTTGGTTACCCTGGCATTCTGCGTTTCAAGTTTTTAGTACAGCACAACCAACAGCAGCTAGCTAAGGCTGAAGGTAAAAGTGTCGACAAGCAAGCGGATAATTTTTGGCTATATTGTCGTGCAACATTCGGAAAACAATTTGAAAAAGTATGCCATCTCTGTACAGAAGCCGTACGTTATGAAGTTTTGTGCTAAAAATCAAAGAAAGTGACTTTCGAACGACGTTGAGTGTCAACTGCGTTGTGCTGCGGCCCATATTCAGACAAACACACACACACATATATATATATTTCATGTGTATGTAATAATTAATATTTTTATTTTTCTTCGTGCGGCATTACATGTGTGCGTGTGTGTAGTAGAGTGTGGTACTAAAAAACAAAAGAAAAAAAGAAACTTTTTGGCCACTTAATGCTGCTACTACTACTTTTCAATGCAACCCTGCTACTCGTTTGACACAACTCAATTGAATGTCGAAGAAAAAGAAAAAAGTAGTATGAGTGTTGTGTTTGTGTCAAACGCTGTCGTCTGGTTTTTGTCCTCTTCCCATTACTCGTTAGTGGAAAAATTGTTTTTGTTTTTGCAGTTTTAGTTTATTGTTTTTTTGTTTCATCGTTGAACAAAAGTCAAACGCCGTTTGCCGATTGTCAAATTGTGACATTCAGTTTTCTCTCAACAAGGCAATGAATGAACGCAAATCAAAAAGATTGAGCAAAAGATATGTGTAAATAATTGGCTGGGAAAATACGATTGCAGCGGCGGCGAGGGCTTATCCATTTTTTGTCCACATAATTCTGTTTGGTTTTACAACGACCGACCGACCGACCAACAGTAACAAAAGAAATTACAAAAATTCATTGGTAAATCTTCTTCCATGCGATTCTTTTCGATTTTTGGCCATTTTTTTCTCTGTAACTGTGTGAATCTTTTTCGACTATGAGATGGTGTTGGTGTATTAAAAACTTAAAATTTATGTCAGAAAGGCAATTTTGCTGGGTACCAAAAGAAACAGTGGGCCGAAAAAGTAAAAAAAAAATAACACCGATATTCAGTCCAAAAATCAAGTGTCAAAACTTTTTCGTGTGAAATCTAAAGGCGTGAGTGAGTGCGTGTGTGTGAATGCTAGTGTTTTCTGACCGAACATGGTTGGACATGAGAGCCGGGGGGAGGACATTGCGAATTGAAAAAGAAAAACACAAATGTTTATTGTTTTGTTTGTCGGCTATCCCCAGACAGTGAGAGAGATTAATGTGTATGAAAGCAGGAGAGAGAGCGGCGAGAATGTAAACAACTTTTATGTCAAAGACCATCAATTCTCAATGTTTATCTATGAAAAGACCGCCAAAATGTTGTAATGTGTTATTGAACTGTGCACGCAAACACTTGCTGCTATCACTAGTTGAAAGGGTGATGTGGGGTAAAAATAAGTGCAAACTGAAGAGAATTTATACAGCATTTAATCCGCTACTGTCCCACTGTACAATGTGCTGCACGAAAAACCCCAGCAAATGTGTTTAACACTGCCTGCCTTTGGTGAACCACCATCGACGACGACGACGAGTGTAAGAAATGTGAATGTACAAAATTTTAGCAAAAGTGTTCCTCTTGCTTTCTTTCCAAAACTTAATTTTCATCCCTTTTTTTGGAGGAGCACAAAAATTTAGAATGTACCCAAGAAAGATTGTGGAAAAGATCTTCAATTCAGAGACTTGTATTGTGACGTCACATTCAGCATCAATTTTTTTGTTTTGTCGATTTTTGTATTGTTTTTGAATGCCTGATAGATAGGTAGTTTAGTTCATGGCGGTTATCTATAATAAGCGTGTGCGGAGGAGAAGAATTAATAAATAGTAGGTACAGTATCGTAGTTGTTTATAGCTTAGATGTATGTGGTCAAAATTAAAGGTAAACGCCCCAATTTAGGGGAATTATAACCACAATATGTGCTGAGCTATATTTTGCCCAAAAAAACATGTCTGCCTTAGCCGTGTGTAAACTGTGGATCTATTTGTACAGGCTTACTAGTTACATATATGTCCATAGGGACGCAAGGACCTCTTTGAACCGTCCGACCAATGTCATCTAGAAGATTTGGGTTATGAGCCATTAAAGTAGCTGTTTTAAATTTGTAATTAGGGTCAAAACCGGATTGGCAAAATGAACACGTCGACCTCTTCATAATAACCAACCACATATTCTTTGTAATTATTGTTAAATTGTATTTAATGTTTGACATAATAATTTTAGATATTGACAAGGTGTGGATTTATAATTTTCACCTGGGATTTTGTGAGAATATATAATCTTCTTGTCTCCCTGAAAAACAAATATCTGATTGTCAATATGTGAGGAGAGCCTGTATTCCTAGCTTGGCCATGTGAAAGTTGTAGACCTTCAATTATTGCTTTGGAGTTTGATTAATTGAAATATGAGATATTTTCTTTTGACTTAATCCAGAATCTGATGCAAATACTTAGTCAACCTTCAACTTGGTTTCAAAAATAATATAAACATAAACATAATATACTTTTACCATACTTTTTGAGGTTTGGTTACGGTTTTAGCAAATCCAACCCTGAACATTGCTAAAGCAGGGGGTCACAAATACCTTTCACTCATTTAAAAGTGGTACATAATCTTGTTTCAAAATGTTTGTATTTTATCCATTAACTCGCATAAATGAATTTTACAAAAGCAGTGGTCAAAAAGTTTGACCATGTGGATTCAAAACACAATTGAATTTTTGATTTTCAACACATAAAAAAGCTATGAAGAACTTTTCTTTGATTCTATCTCAATACAAATTATTTTCAAAAGAGTCCCTGTTCAGTAGAACAGACATAGGTTTAATTATTATTGTTAATCTACTCTACTTTATCTCCTAATTCCTGCGACCTGGCTCTGATAACTCTTCTCTAATCCACAAAAAGAATAGAAAGAGGTCTGCGGTCCTATTTTCTAATATTGAGAGACCATAAAAAGGGAAGAATTGTATTAAATTTTGTAGCGTGTGATATTATTTCAGATTAGTTAGGGAAAATTAGGAAAGACTTTTACCATGAAAATTATTTCAAGTGAATACATCATTCTCATATACGTATTCATGTTTTTTATATAAGAGGAGAACGTATGTACCTTCTTTCTATCCGGAATTATAAATATTCTATACGCCCCTCTTGACACACATTGCGTTCATATATGAATGGAATATCCGCATACATTAATATCTTTACATTACAACAGCTTTTAGTTCCAACCCACAAGACTACACAGCCTCTCCTTTAAGGCATTTATCGACTTTCCTGAGGCATACTTCTGTAGAATGACACATTGGGTTCAAATATGAATGGAATATCCGCATACTTTCATATCTTTACATTAGAACAGCTTTTGGTTCCAGCCCACAAGACTACACAGCCTCTCCTTAAAGCATCTATCGAATTTCCTGAGGCATACTTATGTAGAATAACATTCTAATTTCTTGGGACGTCATACAAATTTTAATTTGAATCATTTAAAGGATATTTTTCTGGATATAGAGCTGGATGATTTGCCAAATTTCTGGGAGAAAACCCCTGAACTTTTTAATTGTATGGGTTATATATTTCCAAGAGCCAGAGATCATGTTGGTCTTTGCTGCTGTTTTTCGGTTGACTTTTTATCGGAGTACCCGTTGGATTCAAACAATACCTTTTACCCTAGACCTTTCAAAGATTCATTCTTTAAAAAAATATATCGCCAAACTACACATCGACCTGGTATCAGATGAGTTTTTCAACTCCTGTTAGTAGACTTTCTAACTTTTTCCTACCACCAATGTATCAGAAGAAGACCTGTTGACCTTTTGGAACTATTTCATAAGTCTAGATGATGTTTCACATGATAGACCTGATTCATATCAGGGGACAAGATTGTTGTCTTTGGGAAGACATTATTTTAGGACACGGATTATCCGAAGAGAAGTTGGCTTTTCACAAGAAAGTTCTGAATGCTCAAAGCACACGTTTTCTAAAGCAGCCTAAAAACGTATTCTTATCCCAGCCTAGAAATGCAATAACAAAAAATACATTATTCAAAATTTTTCTAACACTTCTTTTTTTGTCATTGCAGAGATATCTCCCAATAAAAAAATGAATAACGAAACTACAAACACCCAAGAAGAGGAAAAAGCAGCTACAGCTGTGACAGAAGATGAAACTAAAATTCCAATGAAATCCCCCGATAGCCCCACCATAATACAAGACAAAACCAATTCAAATGAAATGGAACAACAACAATCCAAAGAAGATAGTAGTGAAACTTCTCAGGATTTGAAACAAGTTGATGATTTAGAACAAGTTCCCACAATAACTAAAGATACAGTTAATGAATCTGGGCTGGAGACCAAATTGACATGTGAAGACAGTCCAAGAATATTGGATGATTTCGGAGAAAAAGAAAATGAAAAGAATAATTTAAATAATAATGCGGCTAAGGATGGTAATGAAGAGGAGAGTGAAGTAGCGAATAAGAATAAAGTGACAGAGAAGGGGAATGCAAATACGGAAGATAATAAGCAAATGTCTGAGGAAAGCAAAGATCCTCAGCAAGATAACAAAGGTACGGAAATTAGTGAAGAGAGTGAAAAACAGAAAGATACAAGTGGTGGTGACAGTAAAGAAAATAATTTGGCCACCGATGAAGACTGCTCTAAAGTGTCTGAAGTTTCCACAGAAGATTCAAAGGATCCCAAAGCTCCTTCTTTGGAGGAAAATAAAGAAGAGCCAGAAAAAGTACCACCGGATAATTGCCTCTCAGCGTCCAATGAGGAACCTGATGAGATGGAATGTGAAGATGTTGAAATACCCGAAAATGAAGAAGATGAACTCATAGTGCCCGATGCCCATCTGTGCAATGGCGTTGTCGAAGATGATGATGATGATGATGCTGAGAAGGAGGAGGTCGATAATAACAATGATGAGGATAAGCATAACCCTCTAGAAGATGATAATGAAAGCAATTCCAAGCCCATGTCAACCGAAGATGAATCCACGTTTTCCAATCAAGAACCAGAACTGGTGGCCATTGAAGAGTCAATTAACTCCAAAGATAAAATGGAAGAAGAAAATGCTACAGTAAACCAAAACGAGGAGGATGATGGTGGAAGCGGTATTGCCAATGATCCATTAAACTGTTTGGCTGAAAATCACGGGGAAGAGGAAACAAGTAAGGACAGTCAAGCTGCCTCTGCCAAGACCAATGATGAAAATAGCAATAGCAATGACATGATTGGTGAAGGCAGCGAATCCAAGGAATCCACTAAATCTCAAGGAGATAATGACGAGGATGATGAGGTACTGTTTGTGGAAACCCGCAACTCTCCCATTTGTATAGAATCAGATGATGAAGAGGTTGCGAGGACCCCGCCACCAACCGCGACGGCCACAACAAAAAGTACTCCCCCGGTTCCTGTAGTAGAGAAGAGAGAAACTCGCCAAAGTGCCCGCAGGTCAAATGAGAGTGAAAGACAGACCATTAACTTGCCGAAGGCCACAATAACGGTACCAAAAAATCTAACTATTACCAGGACAAGTGCCCGTAAATCAACGGCCAGGCCACCGCAGGGCATGAATACATCTCCCGTGCCATCGCCTTCTGTAGCGCAACAAAATCGTCCAAAAAATTTCCAATATTTACAAAATGCCACAACCTACAGACGTTCATTGCCCAACCCGCCAAGACAGGTGGTGGATACCATTGAACTGTTGGACAGTTCCGATGAGGAAAGTCAATCCACCTCAAGTAATCACAACTACTTTAATAGATCCTTGCCCTATAATTATGGAACTCCGCCCAAACGCACACTAATGGCTGCCAAGAATCCCAACAAGAAAAGTCCCAACAAAATTCCCAATTTTGGCTTTACGATGCCGAGTAATTTTGCGCCACAAATACGGCGACAACCCAAGAAACCCGCACCACCACCGCTACCTCCGGCCACACCACAATCAAAATTCTTAGATAACTTCAAACTACAGCCGGCCACAGTGGATGTAGAAAATCCGCCAGCATTTTCAGCTTTGCTGTCCAATAAAAATGTCATCATACCAAATGCTTTCTATGGCAATCCTCCCGGCATGAGGACCCCCGACATGGAAGTGGAACGTCGCTATGCCCGCTGGCTGGAAATGTTTATTGGCCATTTTTGCAATCCCCAATTGGTGGCATCCCATTCCTGCCTTTCATTTATACAGAAATCCCTGAAATACACGGACTTCGTCACGATAAAAGCCATACGTCTCAACATGAATACGGAAGCACAAACGGCGGGAGGTGACCAACAAACCAACACTTCATTGGCCGCGGAGTTACGTTCAATATTTTTGAAAAACTCCAAAGAACTAACGCCCCATGGGAGACGGTTTTGTGAGCTGACCTGTGCCATAGGTCAAAATAAACCCATTACCTTGTTGGTGCATGCCATTAGCGGCAAAGTAATGGTGAAAAGTTGTAATTTGGAAATACCCAGTACGTCGGCTGCCACTGCAATGGGGTCGTGGGCGGCTGTCTCGGCAAATAATGCCAACTCCTCCAGCAATCGCAAACGTCAGCTGGAAGCTGATGAAGAAGAATATGTACCTGGTAAAAAGAAACAAATCTCATCGGCGGCGGCAAATTCTGCAACAGCCTCCCATGAAAATACCGATCAAAGTAGTGGCGATGGGGCGGGTGTGTCAGGTGGTGACGGTCCCAAACGGTCTCTGCGTTCCAAACGAACCAAACGTTTGGACAATAGTTTCAGTTATAATGAAGATGATCTGGCTGAATACGATTTGGAAGATGAGGAGGAGCAGGCGGAGCGCTTGGCCCGTGAGGCAGTCCAACGGAAGATTGATCAAAAACGTTTGGAGGCCCAAAGGCAGAGACAGAAGCAGGCGCAGTCTTTTGAAAGTGCATTCCTGAAGACGTTTGCCAGGACGGCAGATGGCAAGGTTTTGACTAATTTGCCGCCGGCAAGGAAAGGTAAGAGAAAGATAGGATATTTTTGTTTATTTTGGAGATTTCATTTGAATTGCATGGTTTTCTTTTAGCCGTGGCACCTCCTCCTACCCAACAAAGGCAACAACCACAACAACAACGACGTCCAGTTATGTTACCAAGCTATCATCGGGATGCCGAGGAACATTTAAGGGTAAATTGGATAGAAAATGTGGAAAATGAGGATACCCAGGTTATATCGGATGACGATGAGCCTAGGGAGCATAGGATTTATAAGCAGAAACAGCAACTTTATGCCCAGCAGCAGAGACAGGCAGCACAGCAACAACAACGACGAAAAGTCTCCTCCCCGTCATCTTCCGCCGCCGCCGCCTCGGCATCAAACAAAGGTGGTTCCCCCCAAATCAACAATCCCCGCCTATGGCCCAAAAATACCGATCCCACTCACAGCGTCAGTTCCAAAAACAAAGATATCTGCCTGATCTGTAAACTCAATGTCCAGCGTATTGTCCATCACTATGTCAATGAACATCGTGGCTGCGAGGTGTACAATTCCCGACTAACCTCATTTCAAGTGGAACAACTGAAACGTGGAGCTTGCAACATACAAAATGTAAGCATCTACAAAAATGGCCAACCCCAGTATGAGGCCCATTGTATTTTCTGCCAGAAACAGTCACGTTTCATGTTTCCCTATTGGGTGCAACATTTCACCATGCACACAGGCGAGTATGCCTATCGCTGTTCCGCCTGTGGCATTCGTAAGCCCACCAGATCTCTGTTGACGCAACATCAGTCCCAGGGCTGTGTCAATGGTGGGGGCACGGTAATGGTCGATTATAATTATGATTCACGAAAGATACGGGTCGAGGCTCGAATTTGTACCCTCTGTAATTATGTCCAGCTTCATCGGAACAATATTGTCAAACATTTACACCAACAACACAATGTTAAACAAATTCTGCCCAAGCACATACAAACAATTGTCCTGCTAAAGGAAGCGGGCGCTGTGGATTCGGCTGCAGGTATAGAAGAGTTAAGACATCAATCCAGACGTTCAGCCTCCCACTCCTCGACGACGACGGTAGTTGCATCTCATAACTCAAATATTTCGTATACAATTGATGATGACGACGACGACGATGATGATGATGATGAGGAGGGGGATGATGATACTTTACTCTTTAGCGAGGATGCCCTGCCACCTATCGCCCAGCAACAACAGCAGCAGCATGTTGTGGAACCTCAACAAAATCAATACTACAATTATATACCGCCCTATATGATGAATCAAATCCATAATCAACAACAAAATTTCACCTGGGAGGACAATGATCCCACTGATGATCTATCGTTTATGATCTGTGGCATGTTGGATGTACAAATGAACAATAAAAAGCAGTAATGAAGAAAAGAGATCACAGCATTTCTGGCGTTTGAAAAAAAAGAAAACAAAACAGAAATTCCTAAATAGTTTTATATGATCTAGTAGCCCCACCCGGCCAAGCTAGTTCGGAATGCAGGCACAGATAGATATTTTGGAAGAAATCCCCTGGGAAGAGGAAAGTCTCAACTGTTTCCCTTTCTTTTCGATAATTTCAAGATTTCTTTTATGATCTATTCTGGGTCTGACTGCCGAGCAATAGCAACTTTTCTCCATGTAATTTTTTTTAAACAAGAATCGTAATCTAGTTTAGGTTTACAAAAATAACAACAATAAAATAATAATAATATTTAGTATATTAGTAATACAAAAAGAAGCAAAAATTCGCAACTGATATCCAATGTGTTGAAAGAATAACAAGCAATCAAACAATATGGAATTCAGAGCAAGAAGTAAAGGAAATTGTTTTTGTTTGTAGTTGAGCGGGAACGTTATGTAAGAGATGTTCAGAAAGCAAATCAACATATGTTAACATGTATGAATTTTTGTTTTTCTTTTTTTATAAAATATTTTTTTCTAATATAGAAGATGGATGAAATAGCGCTTTAACGTATTGTTAAATTAAATTACAAGAAAATTATTTAAGTTTATTTTTTTTTTAAATATTTAATTTGTAATAAATAATAAAACGGAAAATCAAAAATATTTAATCAGAACTTGATCGTTCTAAATAGTCGAACAGAACTTAGAAACTTTTTAATATAAACACAAAGGAACTCAGATTACGACGACGTGGACCTGCACAGGCAACTTTGTCATAAGCCATTACAATATTCAAATACGAAACTTGAAAAAAATCGGTGAATAATGTCGCTAAAATCATCAATATAGGGAGGTACTATTATATGGGGGCTATACCAAAATGTGGACCTTCACAGACAATTTTCTGTCTTAGGCTGTAGTATTTATTACGAACTTCAAATACCAAATTTGAAACAATTCCGATGAATAATGTCGCTAAAATCATCAAAATACCAAATATAGGGAGTTACCGTTATATGAGGGCTATACGAAGACGTGGACCTGCACAGAGAATTTTCAGTAATAGGCTGTAATATTCATTACGAACTTCAAATACCAAATTTGAAACAATTTCGGTGAATAATGTCGCAAAAATCATCAAAATACCGAATATCGGGAGGTACCGTTATATGAGGGCCATACGAAGACGTGGATCTGCAGAGACAGTTTTTTGTCTTAGGCTGTAGTATTATTTACGAACTTCAAATGCCAAATTTGAAACAATTTGGGTGAATACTGTAGCCAAAATCATCAAAATATCGAATATCAGGAGGTACCGTTACATGGGGGCTATACGAAGACGTGGACCTGCACAGACAATTTTCCGTCATAAGCTATAGTATCTATTTCGAACTTCAAATACCAAATATGAACAAATTCCGGTGAATAATGTCGCCAAAATATCGAATATCGGGAAGTTCCGTTATATGGGGGCTATACGAAGACGTGTATCTGCACAGACAATTTTCTGTCATAGGCTGTAACATCCAGTGCGAACTTTAAATACCAAATTTGAAACAATTCCGATGAATAATGTCGCTAAAATCATCAAAATACCGAATATCGATAGGTACCGTTTTAAGAGGACTATACGAAGACGTGGACCTGCACAGACAATTTTCCGTCATAAGCTATAGTATCTATTTCGAACTTCAAATACCAAATATGAACAAATTCCGGTGAATAATGTCGCCAAAATATCGAATATCGGCAGGTTCCGTTATATGGGGGCTATACGAAGACGTGGAACTGCACAGGCAATTTTTTGTCTTGGGCTGCAGTGTTTATTACGAACTTCAAATACAAAATTTGAAACAATTCCGGTGAATAATGTCGCTAAAATCATCAAAATACCGAATATCGGGAGGTACCACTATATGGGGGCTATAAGAAGAAGTGGACCTGCACAGAGAATTTTTTATAATAGGCTGTAGTATTTATTACGAACTTCAAATATTAAATTTGAAACAATTCCGAAACTTGAAAAAAATAGGTGAATAATGTCGCTAAAATCATCAAAATACCGAATATCGGGAGATACCGTTATATGAGGGCTATACGAAGACGTGGACCTGCACAGACAATTTTCTGTCTTAGGCTGTAATATCTATTTCGAACTTCAAATTCCAAATATGAACCAATTCCGATGAATAATGTCGCAAAAATCATCAAAATACCAAAAATATGGAGGTACCGTTACATGGGGGCTATGCGAAGACGTGGACCTGCACAGACAATTTTTTGTCCTAGGCTGTAGTATCGATTACTTATTTCAAATACAAAATTTGAAAAAAAATCCGGTAAATAATGTCGCAAAAATCATCAAAATACCGAATATCGGGAGGTACCGTTATATGAGGGCCATACAAAGACGTGGACCTGCACACACAATTTTCTGTAATAGGCTGTAACACCCATTACGAACTTCAAATGCCTAATTTGAAATAATGCCGATGAATAATGTCGCTAATATCACCAAAATACCGAGTATTGGGAAGTACTGTCATATGGGGGCTATAAGAAGAAGCGGACCTGCACAGAGAATTTTCTGTAATAGGCTGTAACACCCATTACGAACTTCAAATGCCTAATTTGAAACAATGCCGATGAATAATGTCGCCAAAATCATCAAAATATCGAATGTCGGGGATTCCGTTATATGGGGTCTATACGAAGACGTGGACCTGCACAGACAATTTTTTGTCATAGGCCGTAGTACCCATTACGAACTTCAAATACGAAATATGAACCAATTCCGGTGAATAATGTCGCCAAAATCATCAAAATATCGAATATCGGGAGGTACCGTTATATGGGGGCTATACCAAAATCTGGACCTACATGGCCCATTTTCAATACCAAGCGTCGTGCAGACATAATATACATTTGAGTAAAATTTGTTCAATCTACTTCATTTCGTGTGGAAGCTTTAGTGATTTCCAAAGTGACGGACAGACGGATAGATGGACGGACATCGCTAAATCGACATAGAACTTTATGCTGAATATATATACTTTGTGAGGTTTAAAATGTATATTTCGAGGTGTTAAAAACAGAATGACAAACTTAATATACCCTCCATACTATGGTGGAGGGTATAAAAACTCTAAGGAACTAACAGCTCATGGAAGGTGGTTTTGTGAACTGACCTGGGCCACAGTTCAAAACAAACCCTTCACCTTGTTGATGGATGCCAATATCGGCAATGCAATTGGAACAATGGCGACAGTATCGGCAAAGATACTGCACCTGCTCCCGCCAAAGTAGTACGTTCCAAAAAAGGACATGACCACGTAGGTCTGGATGTATTGGCAGGATCAAAAAAGAGAGGAAGAGAGCTCCAATAATGAGAGAAATCTCCGCAGGCCTGGATGTATTGGCATGATCAAAAAGGGAGAGAGAGAGCGCTCCAATGATGAGAGAAAGCTTCTAGTTCAATATAACCCAAGGTCATAATGACCAAGGTCATAATGCAGTCATCGGTTTCCATTCCAAAAAATGTCCAATTAAGGAAGTAATAAAATAAATAAACTTTGGGGCCAGAACCAGATTAACAGAGCAAACACAATCAATATTATTGACACAGCGACGAAATGGGAAACGTTAAAGCTATAAAAATCCTTCAGAGGATTGTTTTAAGGTTGCTAAAGAAAACACGTAAACAGTCATGGTTTTAGTTTTCTGCAGAATACTTTAACTTGATTCATTTCGCAGAAAGGTATCTGCAAAAAGCTCTTCACAAGGAGTCGTTTTTCGACCTTGCATTCTGTGCAAAAAGTTTAAGGACAGAGTACCGGGTGTATTCGATCGAAAATATCTGTTCGCTTTATAATCTAACTGCCCAAAGAAAATTGTGTCAGAACGAACATTTTTGCCTAAAAATTCGCAGATCCAAATTCCCGAAACACATTTTTTCGACTTTTTCCATCCGTTTATGGCTACTGAGAAGAAGATTAATACAAACATTTGACAGACTTCTTTTTAGATGATGGTGATGGATATCTTCTCTAAATCACCTAAAGGATTTTTCGGGAAAAAGGTCACATATTATGTTGGCAGAGTGACAATATTTTGTTAGAACGTTTCAAGCTAGTAAGACACCTGTGTACCCAGGTTGGTTTGTTTCTAGCCAGTGGCGAATATTCACAGAATGTCAAACACTTTGGGCCCCAATTGATGGAAATGCCATCAAATCCAAATGGAACTGTATTTCAGAGAAAATCTTGATTAAAGAACATGCCATGAAATTGTTGTTGCTGGGCGTTGAGCCTGCCGAGAATCGTTCATTGTCGCTTTTAAAGAATGCCTTGTCACTCATCATTGTGGAAATTATGAAAAGAGAGTGGTCACAACAGTGGACCGCATTATTGGCCGAATTGTCTGATGCCTGCACAAAAGGAGAAGCCCAAATGGGCAAATTGCAGTGCTAACATGTCTCTATTGTGAGACATCGCCTCTATATATTTTTCACATTAACTATTTTCCATAATGCAATTTGTCCAGTCTACCATTTTAGGTCTTTGCAAATTGTTTGTGTTTTCCAATGCTGAAAAAAACGGCAACACCTATCCCATCAACTCTCCAATAGGAACACAAATAATCCAATAAGAATTTTAAAATCCGAAACTAGATAAAAATTCCATTGCACTTACCTTCCATTTGCAAACCAAATGTAATGCCATCCTGCTTACATTGGCGAAAATTCCGATGAATATCTTTCAAGGGTATGCTATAGTCCACAATATGACAGGGTGTAAATGTTGACTCGGCTGCCTCCGATTGTATTTGGCACATTTTGCCCATATTTAAATCCAACAGGACAACAACACCCTCTTCACTGCCCACTGACAGGCAACCGTCGAAATTTTGTAGCAGTGTTCGTTTACATGTTGATGAGTTCAGGAAACGGGCACAGGTTATGTGTAAACTTAATTCGTATGTGCACAACACGCAGCTCAGTTCAATGGAATACAACACCACAAAACTGCCGCCACCACTGGGACCATGGAAATTTTCCAAAATCACAGCCAACACCATGATTTCAGGATTGTTGGGAAACAGTTCTTCGACACATTTGATGCAACAGCTGTCATAGCCGCGCGATTCACAAAATTCATAGGTGCTAATAGTTTGACCGCTGCGCACCGAGACGATCTGTAGCATGGAATTTTTGGCCAACCAAGCCCACTCTCCATGGCGTATTATGCCACCAAGTTTTTTATCTGAAAAATAAATTATTCATGAGGTAGTGGGGATTCCTTTAGTTATGCTCCCGAACTTACCCACAAACTGATCATCATCACTGGGAGACTTTGGTGAGTTCGATGATGACGATGCTGCAGCAGTGGGACTCAATAACGGCAATTGGAGGTCTGCAAATTTGACTGTTTGCCGGCCATCGACTTCAAGGTCATACCACTCCATTTTCAAAACAAATTCACTTTTTTACGCACGCAATCCGTTCCACATAAATGTCGTATTAATGTCTTACAAAATGCACCAGAAGATTCTATTTATTTAGCTTAGAAATATACAAAAATAAGCCCCAATCCAATCCTCACGTTGTTGTTTTCGCTCACCGTTTTTCGCGGTGTTCCTCCAACATAGGGATTTGTTGGTCGATTTTGGCTTGTTGATTAATACTGCATTGAGGAAGTGTGTCTGTTGGCAGTAAATGCTTATGACATGTTCAAACGACGCTTTCATATCGTCGTACAAGAATTTACAAGGCATGTTTAGAAATTTAATGAAATCAAATATTTTCCTATGGCGCACTTTTAATGTGAAAGCATATACCCGTTTTCAATATGACTATGTATTTTTCTAATTTAAATACAAAAAACCTATAGACGCATTGTCGAAGATGAAATTTTCAAATGAATTTTCTCACATGCAATGCGTATTTGTGTAACATTCATTGAAATACTTGTATTTATCTTTTGTAAGTAGGCGCATCATCATACCTGCTAGTACAATGAGCTGTAAAAACATTTTTGAAATTCTGAATTTTAAATGAAAAAATGTTTCAATTTGTGAAATTTATTTTCCCACATATTTTTAAATATTGTTGACATATCAATGTTCGCGAGTGTGATGCGTCAACAATCTGTATTCTACTGCCATGGTAGGAACACATCATGTTATGCTATATGTTTTCTTTACGACGTCATTCGGAGGTTATTATAATTCGCGTTTTTCAACATTTTTTACAAATTTAAATATTTTTTCATTCAACATTTTCAATTTCAAAATTGGTTTGACAGTTCATTGTCCCAGCAGCTGTGTCGATGCGTCTAAATATATTCTTCTACCAGGGAACACGTATGAACTGTGCATGTCTTTTGACAGGAAAGGTGCACCACAAGAAAACAATTTATTCTACTTTTTTGTTATTATACCATGGAATAGTAATAAAACATACCATGGAAATACATTATTGCTTACTTTTCTTAGTTTCTTGAATTTCTTATACTAAAAATTATAGATCTGTTCCAGAACTGTAAAAATGTTTACTACAATAACCGATTTTCCCCTTATGATATCGAGAAAATTTGTTAAGATAGTAGGTCTGACACTGAGCATATATATATGGAACTCGATATGGTGAAAATGACGTTCCATTTTTAGTGGGCGTGCAAAATTTGTCAAAATAGCAAAGCAACTTGTTGAATTTATTATAAATGAGTTTGAAGTTACAAGACTATAGCTTCAGAGTTGTATTTTTCATATCTAATCAATCTGTCCAACCATGTTATTCAGTTAACATTTAAGGCGCAAGTACATAAAAAGCTTGAAGTCATGGCTAGGCATATTTTGTGACATTTTATAAAGGGACTACAGAGCCGCACAAAAATCCAGCCGTCGTTTTCCATTATAATTTGACATTAACATGCCCAGCCATGACTTCAAGCTTTTTATGTACTTGCACCTTTAAATTCCAGCTTTTCGAAAAAACAAACGTTTCCGTGTTGGGATGTAATAGAATTGCAGTTGTATAAAAAAAATTCAAATTCAATTGTAACTTATTACAACGTATGTATACGTAATAGCCTTTTTGTGACGAAATAAAACTTTGGAAATATATAGAACATGCAACAACGAACATGATTTTGAAAATAAATCTAGATCTTTCTTTTTGTTTTCAAGTTTTTGTTTATTTATTCAAAAGTTATTTTGTTTATTTTTCACGAAGCAACGTATGCGTTTTGTTTGATAATGGTTCTGACCATGGTAGAAGAATATAGGTAGACGCATCGACACAGCTGCTGTGACAATGAACTGTCAAATCAATTTTTGAATTGAAAATGGTGAATGAAAAAATATTTAAATTTTGTAAAAAATGTTGAAAAACGCTAATTATAATAGTCTCCGACTGACGTAGTATAAGAAAACATATAAAAATCTACTTATATTTGAAAAAACATTTAAATTTTTTGACATATCAATGCTTCCAAGCATTGAGGCATCTACCTGTATTCTTCTGTCATGGTTCTGACATTACAATCTGTACATGATGGCCTCTTTACTTGCAACTTTTTCTTACTTACTCTAACTGTCTTCATTATACCATGAATGCATCAGCATTTGTGAACTTTGATATGTTTAGAATATCAAAACGTCGAGAAAAAGAATATATTTTTAAGTATTTTCTTACATGAAACCGTTCAGAGGTAAATACCACATTCATTTTGAAGCACATATAACTAATTTGAAGCATTTTTCATCCAAATTCTTTTATTCCAACTGACCAGTTGCCTCTTGCTGTACAATAATGTGTACCATACTTTAAGCTATCAATGTTATCGCTTTATAAAATTGCAACGTTGAATAAGAAGAAGACTTTACTGGCTGCTACCAATCAAAAATGTATCTTTAGATCCCTTAATTGCGGCTAGCGAAACGTTTTATGAAAAAATTTATAAAAGAAAATTTTTTGCATAAACAAATTGAAAAGTTAAACAAATGTAAAGAAGACACCCATGCCGCAACAACATTAAATGCAAAGCAAAAACTAAATAAAAAGCGGCTTACGACATTTCGAAAATTGTTTGGAAATTACAGAGAAAAGGAAGAACAAGCACAACTCAACACGCTATTTTTTTTTCTCATATCGACGACAGAGAGCGGCTTTGCTAAAAAGTTGAGGAAGAATTTACAATTTATACGAAAAGACTGCAATAGATTGAGATCCCCACCGGGCACGCTTAGAAAATGGCACAACAACAAATGCTGGCCGATGAATTGGCCAAAGCTGTGGAATTAATAATGCATCCACATACAGCTCAACAGGCCCGCATGGAGGCCTATATGGCATGCGAACGTTTCAAGGAAGAAAGTCCGCTGTGTGCCCAGGTTGGTTTGTTTCTAGCCAGTGGCCAATATTCACAGAATGTCAAACACTTTGGGCTCCAATTGATGGAATATACCATCAAATTCAAATGGAACTGCATCTCACAGGAAGAGAAAATCTTCATTAAAGAACATGCCATGAAATTGTTGTTGCTGGGCGTTGGGCCGGCCGAGGATCGTTCATTGTCGCATTTAAAGGACGCCCTGTCACGCATCATTGTGGAAATGATCAAAAGGGAGTGGCCACAACAGTGGACCACATTGTTGGCCGAATTGTCTGATGCCTGCACAAAAGGAGAGGCCCAAACGGAATTGGTTTTGCTGGTATTTCTGCGTTTGGTTGAAGATGTTGCCCTGTTGCAGACCATTGAATCCAATCAACGGCGTAAGGATATGTATCAGGCCCTGACGAATAACATGAATGATATATTTGAGTTTTTCCTACGCCTGGTGGAGTTGCATGTCACCTCGTTTCGTGAGGCCACTGGCCAGGGTAACTATCAAAAAGCCAATGCCCATAGTCGTGTGGTGGAAATGGTGCTGTTGACCTTAACGGGATTCGTGGAATGGGTTTCCATAAATCACATTACCTGCAACAATGGCAAATTGCTGCAAATCCTATGCATACTGCTCAACGACAAAGCATTCCAATGCAATGCTGCTGAATGTCTCTCGCAAATTACCAATCGCAAGGGGCAGGTGAAGGAACGTAAACCCTTGCTATTGCTTTTTGGTGAGGAGCCAATGCGTTATATATACTCGGCTTCACAAATGACGCCCACAGATGATGGGGTGGCCAGCTTGGAGCAGAATCATACATTTCTCAAGAAACTGGTGCAGGTGCTGAGTGGCATGGCCCAACAGTTGATTGCTTTGTGGGGTAAGGAAGAGGGGACCATACAACGTCCGGCGCATCTGGAAATATTCCTGGAATGTTTGTTGAGCCTTACACGTCATGCATCGTTGAACGTTTCACATGGTTCGGCCCTGATTTGGAATGTTTTGCTTAAACACGATGCCATATCCAAGGACGCTGGGGTCTTGGTCTATATACCGAAAATTATTGAGGTGGTGGGGCCACGTATCATAAAAACACCATACCCCTCGGCCCGGAGCTTGTCCGGCGGTGCCAATGCTGCCACGGCCTCCTACATATGTTTGGAGTACGATTCGGAGGATGAATTTGCCGTATTCTTTTATAGATGTCGTACCGATTATTTGGAGATTTTCCGGCAATCGACCTTGGTGCAGCCCTTGGTGACTTTTGCCTATTGTGAGCAATGGCTGAACATGCGTTTGGCCAAGGCCCACAGTGAGCGGGGCAACAATGTTCAATGCAGTGTACTGGATCCCAATTATTTGGAATGGGAGGCCTTGGTTTCGGTGCTTGATGGAGTGCTGAGTCGTATACTAATGGTAGCTGAAAGACCATCGGTGCAGGCTGGTTTGCGTCTTCTGGAAGACTGTCTCAAGGTGGACACTGACAATCCTTTGACCCTTTCCATACTGTTGTCGTGCATATCCACCTTGTTTGTTTTCCTCAGCATGTCGTCGTGTCAAATTACACCCAACAACTGTGTGGCCATGACGGGAGTGTCCCTCTTGCCAAGAGTTTTGGAGAAAATCTTTAATGCCTTGGTATTTCGGGATCCACTGGATCATACACCACCCACACCACAGCAACCGCTTACACCCAGAGTGCAGGCCTGCAAAAATCTTCGGCGTCACGCTGCTTCTCTGATTGTGAAATTGGGTCATAAATATCCTTTGCTCTTGCTGCCGGTATTCGAGCAAATCAACACCCATATCAAGACACTGTTCCAGCAGCCACAACATCCCATCAGTAAAATGAATCGTATTACCTTGCAAGAGGCCCTGCTGCTCATCTCGAATCATTTCTGTGACTACGAACGTCAGTTTGCCTTCATTGGCGAGGTAATGCGTGACAGTTTGCCCCACTGGTCGGCATTTTCGCATGCATTTAAATCGGCCTTGGATTTCATGCATTTTGTGGGCTTAGATCAGGCACCGGTCTATCCCATTGAGAACGACCCTTGTGGACCACATCGCAGCTCATTGATTGATGCTTTGTACATTGTGTTGGGTGTTATCAAGCGTTGCACCTGGCCCGATGATCCCGACCGGGCTTCTCGTGGTGGCTTTGTGGTCGGATTTACTGAGTTGGGTAAGTCCGTGTGCAATTCTATTAAAACCCATTGACATTTAAAATGTTTTTTTTTTTCTTCTGGTTCCAGGTAATCCCATATGCCGTAATCCCGCCTCGCCCCATGTCATTCCCCTGCTGCCACACATCTTGTCGCTGTTGCGTGTTTTGAACGAGCTGTTCAAGGCTGAGGCCGTGGCGGGTCTCTCGGAAGGCTATCGCAATATTCACACTATGCTGGAACATGAAAAGAAGGTGCTAATGGGTGTATGTGCTATACCAAGCGATCCATTGGATCCCTCGGTCAAAAAACCTCCCACTCCATTTGATAAAATGCAACAATTCATGACATTGCTCTACGAAGGCTGCTATCACATGATGGGTTCGGCTGGCCCCTCTTTGGGCAGGGATCTCTATCAGTTACACGGGGTCTCAGATGCCTTGATTAACAGTGCGTTTGCCTGTTTGGATGATTTACCCGACTACCGTCTGCGTCCCATTGTACGAGTATTTTTCAAACCATTTGTCTATTCCTGCCCACCAGCATTTTACGACACGGTGCTATTGCCCATCTTTGCCCACATTTCGCCGATAATGTGCCAACGTTTAACGGCACGCTGGACATACATAACCTCGTTGTATGAATCTGGACAACTGAATGATGAGGAGCAATCAAATGATACCCAAGAAGTACTGGAAGACATGCTGAATCGTTCATTGACACGGGAATATCTGGATGTCCTCAAAGTGGCATTGGTGGGTGGTCAAATTGGTCCGGAGAATAATGTGAACAATGCCGCCTCGACCGCGACAAATATTGCTTCAGATGTTACAATGGATGCTGAAGAACATTCCATGGATGGTGTGGCCCATACACGGGCTGCCCAGGCCGCCTTACTGTCCGATATCATTAGTGATTTGGGGGCAAAGCTTTTACGCAACCCCGCCACCACGAACTACATTCTAATGACCCTGCTGAGTGCCCTCTCTTGGAACGATGGCACCTGCAATCTGAAAGCTGTCAATGTGGCAGCACCGGTAATGCGCTTCCTGGCCGCTGAACAGTTAATGGATGCCAATAAGGCGGTGACAGCATTTACTGCTGTCTTGCGCGGCCTACAAATCCACGGCCAACATGAGGCCAATCAGGCGGGACTCATAACATTGGGTGTACAATTCTATGAGCTGTTACGTCCCAAATTCCCAGCCCTAACCGAAGTGTTGCAGAGCATACCCAACGTTTCGACGGCGGACATACAAAAATTCGATGAAAAAATTGCCGTCGCTCCTGTCAAGGGCAACAAAGTGGATAAGGCCAAAAAGGATCTGTTCAAAAAGTTGACCGCACCCCTGGTGGGACGTAGTATGAATCAGCTGTTCCGTCACGAAATCAAAATTGCCAATTTGCCTCCGATGCCATCGCAAAAGCTTAAGAATCCCACGGCCGATATTATCGATACAAATCAAAATGCCGGTCTACCCAGTCTGTTTCAGACCACCGGCAATAAGTGACAACGCAGCGGTAGATAAAAAGCATGGATGAGAGAGACTAATTATGAAATGTAAGTTGAAGGAAGGCGGTATGGTTTGGGGATCGGAAAAACTTATGTGAGATCGATTATGCATCTGGGAGCGTGTTGGTTTTGCAGTGGAATTTTATTTATTTTTTGGACTGGGTTTAATTCATGGTTGCATACCGGTTCTAAACCGAACCATGAACCAAACCATTGAGCCGGACCACCCAAATCGGCAAGTGGTTTGTAGCTTTGATTTAAATGCTTAGACTTTCGTTGAAGTTCTAATATTGATATAAAACCTTTTGAGGGTATTAAAAATTTGGAAGACCACGCGGTCTTCTGCTGTTAAAGGAGATGCTCCTGGTGGTCTACTACAGACTTTTTGCAAGTCTTTTGTAAAAAATACTGGCCTTTTCATGAATATCTCCAGAAGATATTTTGAAGATATAAGGCCTCTAAATATTTGAACCGTCGTTGAAAGTCTTCAATATTTAAAAGATCTCTGGAAGTTATAACAAGACCTAATAACCTTCTACAGGGTGAGATAAAAAAACTGAAACAATTTAAATTTTATTGAATGAAAGAAAAAAGTTTCGGAAATATCATCAAATTTTAGAATAAGTTTAGATTTGTTCGAATTGGTCACCTTTGGAACGAATTATGGCCTTCAAATGACCAGTGAAACCGTCACACGCTTCCCGAATGTTGCTCTGCGGTATTTTTGTCCATTCCCGCCAAAGCGCTTGCTTGAAGTGATCGACACTTTTGCATTTTTTAGTGCCAACCTTGCTTTCCAAAATACTCCAGATACAATAGTCCAACAGATTGGTATCCGGAGATTTTGGTGGTCATTATGCGCTGGAAATGAAGCGAGAAACCTCATTTTGCAACCATTATTGTGTGTCACGTGCTGAGTGCGATGATGCTGAGTCCTGTTGGAATGTCCAAGGTCTGCGGCCAAAATGTTTGCGTGCCCAAGACTTTAATACACCCTCCAGAATATTTTCGCGATAATATTCGGCATTTATTCTGATGCCACTGGCGATTAATACGAGCGAAGAGCTACCATCAATAACAGCCCACACCACCACCGTGGCCCGCGCTTGAATCCTGGTGGCCAACCGAAGGTGCACATTTTCAGCTGACCTCTTTGGCAAGTAAACGCGATTATTTTATTTGTTTACAAACTGCTGGACAACGAATGTTTTCTCATCAGAGAAAACCAAATCCGGCCTTTTGGCCAGGCGAAGCAACTCTTTAGCTTCTTTGAGTCTATTTCCTTTCTGTTGCGGTGTAAGTTCTTGCACTTTTTGAAATTTCAATGGCTTTAACCCGAGAACAATTTTCAATATTTGCCAAATGGAATATTGCGATATGTTCAGCTCACGAGCCATTTTTCTGACACTGCGACGCGGGTTTCGATCGAGTCGCTTCATTACTTTTCGAACCATTCCCGCTGATGTTGCTGTTTTCTTCCGTCCACTTCCTTGACTTTGTCGGGCTACGCTACCAGTATCACGGTAACGAGCTATGGTACGAGACACAAAAGACTTATTCACATTTAAATGCTGGAGTGCTCTAACGATAGCCACTTGTGGTTTTCCAGCCAAATGTAAAGAGATCACACTATCACGCTTGAATTCCATCACGAATAACATTTTTTTTGGAAAATTCTCACCGAAATGCTTTGGTACGCTTGTAAACAATATAATGAGCTGTCACTGGAATATTTTTTTTAGCTGTCGGACGAGTGGCTTAGAAATCACAGCAGTCTGAAGTTGGTTGCAGTTTTTCATCTCATTCAGCTATACCATTAAAAGGTGGAATGTTGCGGGTCCAGACGTCTCTGTTAGGTATATGGATATCAAGTTATTCAAAGCTTTGCCAAGGTGATATATAGCCTGATTTCCTATGTTCTACTGGCTATAGCCTGATTTCCTATGTTCTCCACATACTTGAGAATGACGGAGTGTCCAAAGGACTGACTCCGCCATTGTCCCAATTCATTGAGTCGAAGGGCACACATAGCAGTTTGTTCTTCTACAAATAGAGTTGAGGAGGGTATCTAGTGGGCATTGGGGTGCGCTCCTAACTCTTGGGACTTTTTCAATGCTTTTGCTGAAGGTAGTTTTCCTTAGAGAGTACCTAGCCCTCCATAAGTTAGGGTTGGCTGCACGACTGGTTCATATAACCATTTGATTATATGAGGCTAAAATCCCCAGTTCTTTCATATGGAGTTTTAGCAGGAATAAAGTGCATTTAAGCGTCTCCTCTTCCAGTCAAATTTCTGGTCTAGGGCGGTGCCGAGATACTTGGCTTCTGAAGACAGGCTTAGCATAACACCATCCAGCATTGGTAGCGAAAAATCTGTGATTCAGGACCACGGCCTTAATATCTTCTTTGAAAATAATATCCCCGGGTGATTTCTTAAAAATAGGAGACCTTAGAAAACAATATAAAAACCTGGGTTTTGAAGTAGTTTTCCCCAGAGAGTGCCACCAAACTAGACCTCCATAGGTTAGGATTGGCCGCACGAGTAACTCATATAACACTTTGATTATAAGATGCTTAAGTCCCCAGCTCTTACCTATGGAGTTTTTGCAGGAATAAAGTGCTTCGCTCGCTCCTCGATATTCCTCTTCCAGTTTGATTTCTGGTCTAGGCCGTCGCCGAGATACTTGGCTTCCGAAGACAGGCTTAGCATAACATCATACAGCATTAGTAGCGAAAAATATGGGATTTGGGCCCACGACCTTAATATCTTCTTTGAAAATGATATCCCTGGGTGATTTTTTAAAAATACGAGACCTCAAAAACGAATATAAAAACCCTGGGTTTTGAAATTCTATTCCCATGCCCATAAGATATTTTAATCTAAATATTTTTTTTCTCATTTCTTTACAGATACGCAATTAATCTTAAATATATATTGTATGTATATTACTATACTGAATATAATGCCACGTAAATTTTTGAATGGAACGAATAACTCTGATAAGATGATACACAACACACACGCAAATTCGAATTGAAACGTCTGTTATTGAAAAACAAAAAAAAAAAAACAAAACAGATTTTATATTCCTGAGTAAGACTCCTTCTACTGGTAAATAGGAAAATATGTCCATTTTCCAACAGCAAGAATTTTATGGCAACTTATAAGATGTACTATTGTTCAATACACACACGCACGGAACTATCCAATTTTATTGTTTTATTGCAAATTATTATTAATAATTTAAATTATTTACAACTTCCCGCTGGTTTTGTGAAAAAGCAAACTTTGCCTTTATTTTTCGTTTTGGCAAATTGTTAAAAAAAAAAAACTCCAAATGCACACTCAATATATTTTAATTGTTATTCCTTACTTATTTCACTCAACACCCATGTGAGTGAGGCTTTCCCCTCCCCTCTTCTAAATTATTGTTTTTTATTCGATTTTTTTTTCATATTTAAATTTAAATTAATTTTGAATTTCCATTTGTATTACTCTGTTGATGATGGTGATGAAGCAAAATTTCTGTTGAAAAGAAATAAATTTATAATTTTATACAAATTTTAAATATTTAGTTTTGAAAAACAAACAAAGCAAAAAAAAATTAAGTGTAGAATTATTTAAATAAAATACAAAAAAAAAATTATATATTAAATAATAAATTGAATATTTAATTTATACATGTATATCGATTAAGAATTTTTTATTAATTATATGAAATAAGAAATTTATTATATAAACAAAAACAACAACAACAAAAAAGAACGAACGAAAAATAAAAAAAGAACTTATTATGAATATGTCTTCAAAATTCATTTGCATTTTTTTCTTTGTATTCGAAGTGACAGGTTGCCTTGGAAGCCAGGTAAAAACGTTTTGAAGAAGCTTCCTGTAATTTCCAGGAACTCTGGGAAATCGGTGTTGCTGGATATTGGCCCAATGCTTTGAAGTATGAAATGACAGAAATAAAGGGTGAGATGAAAAAAAAACTGCAACCAACTTTAGACTGCTGCCATTTCTAAGCCACTCATCCGACAGCTGTTAAAATTATTCCAATAACAGCTCATTATATTGTCTACAAGCGTACAAAAGCATTTCGGTGAGAATTTTCCAGAAAGTTATTCGTGATGGAATTCAAGCGTGATAGTGTGATTTCTTTATATTTGGCTGGAAGAAACCCAGGTGGCTATCGTTAGAGCACTCCAGCATTTAAATGTGAATAAATCTTTTGTGTCTCGTACCATCGCTTGTAACCGTGATACTGGTAGCGTAGCCCGATGTCAAGGAAGTTGACGGAAGAAAACAGCAACATCAGCTGAAAGGATTCGAAAAGTAAAGAAGCGACTTGATCGCGAACCCGAGTCACAGTGGCCGAAATATGGCTCGTGAGCTGAACATATCGCAATATTCCATTCGGCAAATATTGAAAAATGAGCTCGGGGTAAAGCCATTAAAATTCCAAAAAGTGCAAGAACTTACACCACAACAGAAAAACAAATAGACTCAAAAGAGCTAAGGAGTTACTTGGCCGAAAGTGGTGAACTATCGAATTTGGTTTTCTTCGTCTCCGATGGGAAAACATTTGTTGTCCAGCAGTTTGTTAACAAACAAAATGATGGTGTTCACTTTCCAAAGAGGTCAGCTGAAAATGTACCGCTTCAGTTTGCCACCAGAACTCAAGCGTTGGCCATAATGATGGTGTGGACCGCCATAACAGCCGATGGTCGCTCTTCGCTCGTATTACTCGACCATGGCATCAGAAGATATGCCGAATATTATCGCGAAAATATTCTGGAGGGTGTATTAAAGCCTTGGGCACGCAAACATTTTGGCCGCAGACCTTGGACATTCCAACAGGACTCAGCACCATCGCACTCAGCACGCGCCACCCAAGAATGGTTACAAAATGAGGATCCTCGCTTCATTTCCAGGGCACCTCTCTATGGCAACCAAAATCCCCGGATACCAATCCGTTGGACTATTTTTTTTTTTTTGGAGTAATTTGGAAAGCAAGGTTGGCACAAATATTTTGGCCGCAGACCTTGGACATTCCAACAGGACTCAGCACCATCGCACTCAGCACGCGCCACCCATGAATGGTTACAAAAAAAGGTTCCTCGCTTCATTTCCAGAGCACAATGGCCACCAAAATCGCCGGATACCAATCCGTTGGACTATTTTTTCTGGAGTATTTTGGAAAGCAAGGTTGGCACTAAAAAATACCAAAGTGTCGATCACCTCAAGCAAGCGCTTCGCCGGAAATGGCCCAAAATACCGCAGAGCAACATTCAGGCAGAGTGTGACGGTTTCATTGACCGTTTGAAGGCCATAATTCGTGCCAAAGGTGACCAATTCGAACAAATCTAAACTTATCCTAAAATTTGATACTATTTCCGACATTTTTTGCCTTCAACAAAATTAAAAAAAAAAATCGTAAAAATAATGGCGTTTGACTTTGTTGAAGTGTTTTTTCTCACCCTGTATATCATTTGATGCGGTGAAAACATGCCTGGTCGAAATAACGGTTTTAGACCCTAGGTCTCTTTTGACCAAATCCGTTTCAGGACATTTGGAGTCGATCTAGCGATACCCTCCTGTCTGTCCGTCTGTCTGGCTGGTGCGCACGGTAACTCTCGAAGGGAGTATCCGATTTGATCCAAACTTGGTACATCGTAATATTATTGCCAAACCTAGATCGAGTTCGGAGATGGGCGATATCGGTCCACTCCTTCTGGTAGCTCCCCCACAAAATGTCGAAATTTTCAAAGAAAATATTTTATTGCACAGAAAGAGAAAGGATTATCCTATTTTGCTCCAACTTTGCAAATCCTAATATTTGCTTCAGTGCTAGGTCAGGTGCGAAAATGGACACTATCGGTCCACTCCATCAAGTACCTCCCCCCAAAAAGGGTCAACATTTTGAATAATTATAACTCTTATAAAATGTTATGTAAGAGTTCGTTTGCCTTCAAATTACGCACATTACAATATCTTCATTAACCCAAAGTCTGGTGTGAAGATGGGATATATCGAACCACTCCTTCTGGTACCTCCACCAAAAAGTGGTCAAAATTTCAAATATCCATGAAGCTCATAAAAAGCCTAATTAATATGCGATTCCCTTCAGACTTCAAAAATCTCAATATTTTTATCTGCTGAAGATATGTTATAAAGATGTTAGAGATCGGACCATTCCTTCTGCTACCTCCCCGACAAAGGGTCAAAGTTTTGAAAAACAGAAACAATTATAAAATCCAAAATAAGTATCCGGTTCTCTTTATATTTCATATATGCCATTATTTCTGCTAACACTAGATCTAATGCGAAGATGGAATGTACCGGACCCCACTCCATCTAGTACCTCCCTCACAGATGGTCAAAATTTTGAATATCCATGAAGCTCATAAAAAGCCAAAATAAAAATCCGATTTCATGCAGACTTCGCAAATCTAAATATTTCCATCAACACAAGGTCTGTTAAAAAAATGGTGAAGATCGGATCGTTCCTTCTGGTACCTCCCCCACAAAGGGTCAAAGTTTTGAAAAACCGAAACGATTATAAAATCTGAAATAAGCATCAGGTTCTCTTTATATTTCGCACATCCCATTATTTCTGCTAACACTAGATCTGATGCGAAGATGGAATATACCGGACCACTCCATCTAGTACCTCCCCCACAGAGGGTCAAAATTTTGAATAGCCATGAAGGTCATAAAACGCCAAATTAATATCCGATTCCATTCAGACTTAGTACATCTAAATATTTCCATCAACACAAGATCGGTTATAAAGATGGTGAAGATCGGATCGTTCCTTCTGGTACCTCCCCCCAACAAGGGTCGGTCGAAAATTTTCAAAAAATTATCACATATCTCATCTAAAGTGAAGGAAGTAACCAATATAGTCCAAACCTGGTAAGTTGCAATATTTATATCATAATTATTTAGGTCCGATATGAAATGGACAATATTGTTCCATTCCTTCGGAACCCACTCCATAGAGGGTCAACAATTTGAATAATCATAATAGAAGTCAAAACGCATTTAAGTACTTAAACATTGGCTGCGGGTATAATTCTGTCGGCAAAATTCACTGATACTTTTTATTTTGTTTAAACAAAAAAAAAAATTTTCGTACAATTTATATTTGTATATATATTTATTTATACTTTTTTTACAAATACACAATATATATTATTTGTTTTATTTTTTTTTTTATATATTTTCATTGATTATTTCAAAAATCATAAAGCCAATATAGGATTGATTTTGTTGTACAAAAAAATGTAAGGCCGCATACTTAAAAAATAGTAAAGAATTAAAAATTAAATATTTTTTTTTGATCTCTTCTGTATCCAAAATATAATTAAGTACAGAATTTCTTTCTTTTTTCGGAAAAACAAATATCCAAAATTTGAGCAGAGCATATTTACTAAAACGAAAACTTACAGAATAAACGTAATTATTAACTTAAAGATAACAATTATAACTACAAGAGAGATAGGGTAGGCGGTGGAGGTCATGTCAGGGAAATGAAAAAAAAAAAATGAAAAAAGAATATAAATTTGTTAAAAATAATTTAGATTGACATAAGTAAAAGTTTTGATTTGGATGGTGATGAGGAGGGGTGTTAATATGAGTGAGTTATGGCTGGCTTGGGTTACAACATTTCCATTTTTCTCATGCATAAGTTTGGGTAGAATCCCCTCCCTCTCGGTGTTGCAATACCTGAGCCAGCCTATTAAATGAACAAAAAAATATACATTTTGTGATAAAAAAAAATATTACAGAAAACAAATAATAAACAGGCGGTGGGTAAATAATAGAAATAATTTTTTTTCTTAATTTTAATTTTTTTCAGATAGCTTTAAATATAAAAAAAAACATGGCTTGGGTTACAACATTTCTCATTTTTCTCATGCATAAGTTTGGGTAGAATCCCCTCCCTCTCAGTGTTGCAATACCATAGTCAGCTTATTAAATGAACAAAAAAATATACATTTTATAATGAAAAAAAAAAAAAAAAAAAAAAAAAAAACAAATAATAAACAGACGGTGGGTAAATAATAGAAATATTTTTTTCTTCTTAATTTTAATTTTTTTTTTCAGATAGCTTTAAATATAAAAAAAAACATTAAATAAAAAACAAAAAAAAAAAATAATCATAAAATCACATTAGGTTTGTTGTTGTTTCTTTTTTTATAGGAAAGATTGATTTTTGCGTATTGTTTCATACTTCCTCAACTACTATAGAGGGGAAGTTAATATTTTTTTTTAATTCTAAACTTACAGCTATTACTTATTTCGACAAGAAAATATATATTTTGTTTTGATCTCTCAAACTTAAATTAAAAATACTTGATTTTTTTCTCCTGCTTTAACTTCAGGAAATATTCAATTTTTTCGAATTTCAGACACAGGAGTCAATCAAACAATTCGGTTTATTCATCAAACAATTTGAGGTATGAAAAGAAATCATTCAATTATTCTGCCAAAAAAAAAAAAAAATCCTCCCGTCGCAGCTGAAGAACGAGAGCTGCCACGACAAACCCGTGAAGTTTTTGCTCAATTACGATTCGGATGGTGCAGCCGCCTAAATTCCTACTGGATCTCTCAAACTTAAATTAAAAATACTTGATTTTTCTTCTTTGCTTTAACTTTAGGAAATATTCCATTTTTTTTTTTTTTTTTTTTTTGGATTTCAGACACAGGAGTCTATTAAACAATTCCGTTTATGTATCTATCAATTTGAGGTAAGGAAACAAATTATTCCATTATTCTGTCAAAAAAAAACCTCCCGTTGCAGCAGATGAACGAGAGCTGTCCCGACAAACCCCAAGTAGTTTTGGCTCAATTACGATCCGGATGATGCAGCCGCCTAAATTCCTACTGGGCCCGGAGGATTAACAGCGATGTGCAAAACATCTGCCCAGCTTGTGGCACAAGGCCCACATGACACGCTGCACCTATTTCGCTGTCCAGCCAAGCCTACTCACCTAACTCCAGTCTCGTTATGGACAGAAACCCATACAGGTTGCATCCTTTTTGAGACTGGTTTTAGAGGCAGAAACAGGTTGCATGGAGTCAGAAAATGGAAACAGAACGGAACACAGCTGTATGAGCTGCTACAACAACAACACCTAACTCCAGTCTCGTTATGGACAGAAACCCATACAGGTTGCATCTTTTTTGAGACTGGACTTAGAGGCAGAACCAGACTGAATGGAGTCAGAAAATGGAAACAGAACGGGACACAGCTGTATGAGCTGCTGCAACAACAAAAATGACGGTCTGTATGGCGGGAAGTTCAAAGTCGGACTGTTGGAATTTCTCAAAATCCAAAAAATAAACCTGAAGATATTTTTTCACAAAATTTTATCGAAGACCTCTGTTTTTACTCATCTGCTCAAGTCCAAGGAAATATGTTTGCCTTGGTTTTGAAGGGGAGGTGTTGGGGATAAATCAAGACCCCTTTTTTTACTCCTCTGCTTAACTGTGTCATGGACAAGTCTAAAGGAAATATGTTTGCCTTGGTTTTGAAGGGGAGGGGTTGCGGAAAAAAATCAAGACCTCTTTTTTTACTCCTCTGACCTCAAGACCTCTTTCTTTACTCCTCTGCTCAACTGTGTCATGGACAAGTCTAAAGGAAATATGTTTGCGTTTTTTTTTAAAGGGGAGGTTGGGGATAAATCAAGACCTCTTTTTTTACTCCTCTGCTCAACTGTGTCATGGACAAGACTAAAGGAAATTTGTTTGCCTGCATTTTTGGAGAAAGGGATGGGGATAAATCTAAAGCTGTATTAAAAGTAATGGACGTTTCTCATTTCAGTTTCGGTTTTCTGCGAGAGATTACATTTCTTAAAATAGCATATAATTCTTATTTTCTTTTTTTAGGAAAAATATTTTCGTTTAGGAAGCCAGCTCTCTGTTGCAATAGTTACTCTCTTTCCAACATCCTTGTTTTTGTTTTTTTTTTTTTGTTAACTTAATTGGTAAAAACACTTAAAACACCTAACATATTTAATTTCAGTTCTTCTCAAATCGAAAAAAAAAACACTCACATACACACACAGCAACATCATAGGATGTGGAAAAAATCCCTCTATTGTTGTTGCTGCTGCTGGCCAAATATATTCAAATCCTGTTGGGTAACATAGCCGGAAATGAGGCCATTTAAATTCGTGGAATTTGTTTTGGAACTATCCGGTCTTGTGGTTTGATTTGTATTGGCTGGATTCTCTACGCCGATATTGGCGGCCTTTGTGGCTGGATTTTGTATTTGTTGTAATTTTGCCAAATCATCTAGAGTGGTATAACCATCGGCGGTCCCACCAACAAATTGTGATTCATTTGTTAAAGCTGGAGGGTGATTATTAAAAAATTGATGCAAATCTTGGGCCATAACATAGCCTGATGGTGCTGGATGGCTGAGGGCTGTTGGAGGAGCCTGCAAACTTTGCACTGTTATATAACCATTGGAGCTTGGCATTTTGCTTTCCTCCTCGAAATCTTGCCATGGCTGTAGCAATGATTGTTTTATGTAACCACTATCATTGGTCAGCGGTGTGTGTTCAATTTCTGAATGAGCCATGGATTCCGAGTCCTCCGTACTATCGACCAAAGAATCCACCGAGGAAGATATATGACCCTCATCCATTTGCCTGACCTTTAAAGTATCATCCACCTCACAATTATCTGCCAAATTATCCGTTCCACTACCACCATCCATTATCATGGCGCCAGCACAACCTCTCTCACCGGCACCCAAGTAACCTGAATCATTACCCAATGAGGCCAACAAATGATGATGTTCATTACGGAAATTATATTCATGCATGCGTCCCGCGCTCAACCATTCAGCTTCCTTGCTGGCCAAATCAAGGGATTTTTCCATTTGTTTGTTATCGAAATCTCCGAGAGCTCCTCCGCCACCGGGCAAGACAGCCGCATTATTGTCCTTGATAAAATAACTTTCCAGGCCAGCCGGTAGGGTACAATTGATATTGGCCATTTTATTGTACTTCTTACGGGCCATATACAAGGCAGCCATGACACCCAAAGACATTGCAATCACCACCAATGCAATGGTGGTGATTTTACTTAGGCGGCTTGTAGAACAGGAATATATGGCCGAGGTTTGCCATGGTGACTTATAAAGATTATACAAACTGTCATTGAAATAGCGTCTAAGCGCATTTGGTCTTCCACCGGTTTCTAGGTCACCAGCCACACAGGCTAAATCATCATTATCATTGAAATCCACATCATCATCGTCATCATCATAAAAATCTTGTTCCTCATCATATTTTTGCTCCCGCAAATCTGTTGAAATTTCATCAGCATTTACGGCCCGCACTTTGACAATTGTCTGATATTCGGCTCCAATACAGGTGGGAACATGAAAAGCACATGCCGTCTCCCCACCCATTACAACACTCTTCTTTTGTCTTACCACCTCATTGCTGCGCATTTCGGTAACAGCCACTTCATAGAATTCCAGGCGGCCGTTTGGTTTAAGGGGTTTTGTCCATTGTATAATGCTGGCATTATTCGAAGTGGTCGCCTGGCCGGGAGGTGAGGGGGCTGAAAGAGGGGGGAAAAGAAAAGAGATTAGGTGATTTAGTCTTTTGGAAATTTTCTAAGGATCAAGAAGTTACTGCTTTTTTTAAATATTTTTATACCCTCCACCTTTTTATACCCTCCACCTTTATCATTCCGTTTGTAACATCCCTGAATATTCGTCGTAGACCCCACAAAGTATATATATTCATAATCAGCATAAAATTCTAAGTCGATTTAACCATGTCCGTCTGTCTGTCTGTCTGTCCGTCTGTCTGTCTGTCTGTCCGTCTGTCTCTTGAAATCACGATACCGCTCACATTATTTGACGTAGAGCGTCAACATTTGGCAGAACAATTTGTATTGTGTCTAGGATGGTTTGTATTGAAAATGAGATATATCGGTCCACGTTCTGGTATAGCCCCCATATAACGGTACCTCCCGATATTTGGTATTTTGATGATTTATGCCACATTTTTTCACGGATTTATCTGAAAATTGGTATTTGTAGGTCACAACGGGTCCCTGAACGTGTGGCAAAACATTGCATGTATAGCTCCACGTTCTGGTATAGTCCCCATATAACGGTACCTCCCGATATTCGGTATTTTGATGATTTATGCCACATTTTTTCACGGATTTATCTGAAAATTGGTATTTGTAGGTCATAACGGGTCCCTGAGCGTGTGGCAAAACATTGCATGTATAGGTCCACGTTTTGGTATAGCCCCCATATGACGGTACCTCCCGATATTCGGTATTTTGATGATTTATGCCACATTTTTTCACGGATTTGTCTGAAAATTGGTATTTGTAGGTCACAACGGGTCCCTGAGCGTGTGGCAAAACATTGCATGTATAGGTCCACGTTCTGGTCCCCATATAACGGTACCTCCCAATATTCGGTATTTTTCTGATTTATGCCACATTTTTTCACGGATTTATTTGAAAATTGGTATTTGTAGGTCACAACGGGTTCCTGAACGTGTGGCAAAACATTGCATGTATAGGTCCACGTTTTGGTATAGCCCCCATATGACGGTACCTCCCGATATTCGGCATTTTAATGGTTTTTGCCACATTTTTTCACTGATTTGTGTAAAAGTTGGTATTTGTGGGTCATAATGGGTCCTAGTTCGTGTGGCGAAACATTGTAATTATAGGTGCACGTGTTATATGGGGGCTATAACGGTACCTCCCGATATTCGGCATTTTAATGGTTTTTGCCACATTTCTTCTAATGTTCTTTTACCCTAAGGTGGAGGATATTAAAAGTTTGGCCCGGCCGAACTTAATGTTTTTTTACTTGTTTTTGACTAATTTTCTCACCTCCAATGTCCGTTGTAAAGTGTACATCATTGCTGGTATCGGATATGTCCACAGTTTGTGCCAACACATAAACCTTGTACGAGGCGAAACTTTCCAAATTTGTCAAAGCAAACTCCAAGGTTGTGGCATTCACCTCAAACCTATCGTTATTCAACATAATTATATATTTTCGTATGTGGCCATTTTTTTGACTTGGTTCCATCCACTTGATCCAGGCACTGTCCTTGGTCACATTGAACACTTTGAGGTTACGTGGCGGCGATGGTGCCCCCTCCAGGGTACGCATTAGCTGTGGATCACTTGGTTTGCCAATTTTATTACGTGAAAACATATACATCGATACTTTGTACATGGTGAATGGATTCAAATTGCCAATCGTATAGGATTTGTCGTATTTCCTCAGAGTCACCGTTTGTGGCGAATCCAAACATGTTGCATTATCGGCTGGCACATTATCGGCTACTTCACAATAGGTTAAATTGAAACCCAATAAAATCGATGTACACACCCTTTCCACACGCCACTGTACCTTGATGCTGTTGCTCAGGGAGGTTAATTCTGGATCGGCCTTAACCAAATCACTGTTAACATCCATGGTACAGGCGGTCCAGTGTAGCCCGGTATTGAAATTGTCATAATTTGCCGAAACCGCCAAGTTGAGAGTGTGTTCCTCATGGGGATTTTGTTTTTCGGTGGTGAAATTCAATTGCGTAGCAGGTACTTCTTTGAAGTGCATTGATTCCTTTTGGGGGAGAAGGAAAGAAAACAATAGAACAAATTTGGATTCCACAATTATCTGTACTTACCTTGCATTCATTGGGCAATGCCCGCTTGGGATAACACCAAAAAACTGTGTAACTCTTAAGTCCCACACTCCTGGCCGGTTTCGACCAGGTTAGGGTGTAGGTACGATTATTGGCATGATATACATTGTTAATGTCACGGGGTGTATAGTGTTTGGCCGTTACCTTGTCGAATGGATATATAACCAGACGACTGGCCTCCAATGATTCGCCCAAATGATTATGGCTAACGATTTCAAATTCATAATGGGATGTTTTACGCCAGGGAAACACCGCTAGGTTATGATCCAGTACAGAGGGTTTCAAATCACTGGAAACAAAAATAAAATTGAATTAAAAATTTGATGGCAAAGATAACTCTAATAAATAACTCTTCAAACTTAAAAAAAGGATTTATCCTCTTTGAATATTTCATGGAAGTATTGAATGGTCTTGGGGAGGCAAGTAAAAAATTCTAAGGTCTAGTTAATTTAAGAAGGTCCCCAGATGATTTTTTTCTTCCACTTTTTACTTTAAAAGGAGTTCTAAGAAAAAAGTCGTTTTATTTCCCCAAGCGCTCTTTAAAAACCAGTAAAGAAAGCCAGTAAAGGGAGCTATATCCAAATCTGAACCGATTTCGATAAAATTTGGCAAAGATATTTCTGAGCTGTATTTGATATATTTCCTTGAATATCGTTGTTACGGAGTGCATGTTACGGCTGTGGGTAACAAATACAACAAATCGGATAACCAATATATATGGGAGCTACACCTATATCTGAACCGATTTCGATCAAATTTGGCACACTTATTTTCAGGCCTAATTTGGTTGTATGTGCAAAATTCCATACTATTCGGGCTGATATTACACGTTTGGTGCACAATAAAAGGTAAATCGGATGAAGATATATATGGAAGCTATATCCAAATCTGAACCGATCTCGATAAAATTTAGCAAAGGTATTTCTGAGCTGCATTTGATATATTTCCCCAAATATTGTTGTTACAGAGTGCATATTACGGCTGCGGAGGACAATAATAACAAATCGGATGAACAATATATATGGGAGCTATAGCTATATCTGAACCGATTTCGACCAAATTTGGCACACTTATTTTCAGACCTTATTTGGTTGTATGTGCAAAATTCCATACTATTCGGGCTGATATTACACGTTTGGTGCACAATAAAAGGTAAATCGGATGAAGATATATATGGAAGCTATATCCAAATCTGAACCGATCTCGATAAAATTTAGCAAAGGTATTTCTGAGCTGCATTTGATATATTTCCCCAAATATTGTTGTTACAGAGTGCATATTACGGCTGCGGAGGACAATAATAACAAATCGGATGAACAATATATATGGGAGCTATAGCTATATCTGAACCGATTTCGATCAAATTTGGCATACTTATTTTCAGGCCTAATCTGTGTGTACAAAATTCCATACTATTCGGACTGATATTACACGTTTGGTGCACAATAAAAGGCAAATCGGACGAAGATATATATGGGAGCTATATCTAAATTTTGACCGATTATCTTCAATTTCAATAGGGTTCGTCCTTGGACCAAACAAATGATTTGTGCAAGATTTCATCTGGATCGGGCATAAATGCGAACTGTACTTTGTTTACAAAAATACATGGACAGACGGGCGGACGGACATGCATAAATCGACTCAGAATGTTTACTTGCCAAAGAGGTCAGCTGAAAATGTGCACCTTCGGTTGGCCACCAGAACTCAAGTGCCAGTAGATGGTCGCTCTCCGCTCGTATTAATCGGCTGTGGCATCAGATAAAATACCGAATATTATCGCGAGGGTGTAAAGCCTTGAGCACGCAAACATTTTGGCCGCAGACCTTGGATATTCCAACATGACTTAGGTCAAGAATGGTTACCAAATGAGGTTCCTCGCTTCATTTCCAGCGAACAATGGTCACCAAAATCTCCGGACACCAATCCGTTGGACTATTGTTTCTGGAGTATTTTGGAAAGCAAGGCTGGCATTAAAAAATAGCAAAGTGTCGATTACCTCAAACAAGTGCTTTGCCGGGAATGGACCAAAATACCACAGAGCTACATTCAGGCAGCGCGTGACAGTTTCATTGGCCGTTTGAAGGCCATAATTCATGCCAAAGGTGACCAATTCGAATAAATCTAAACTTATTCTAAAATTTGATGCTATTTCCGAATTTTTTTTGCTTTTATTCAATAAAATTCAAAAAAAAAAAGTAAAAATTATGGAGTTTAACTTTGTTGCAGTATTTTTTTTCATCTCACCCTGTATATTACTTTCAGCTCATACTTACATCAAATTACCATCCCTGCGCACCGAACGTATGACATAGGAAAAATTATCACCATTATATTCGAATGCTGGCAATTCCTCCCAATATACGGTGACCATTGTTTCGGCAGAATTTATATAAAAACTACCAGCATCCATGCGCGGTGGCCTCTGAGGCCTCTTGGCAGCTGTACGGAATGGCAAAATCAATTGTTCACTCCACTGGGCCTTGGGATGTTTAACACGTACCCGCAATTTCAGATCATAACGCCAATAGGCATACGGTAGATTTGTTAAACGTAATTTCAATTCGCTATGATCGCGATATGGTGCATCTCCACGTATTACTGTACCATTTTCCGGTTGTATCAACACCTCCCATTGCAAACCCTTGTTGCGATATTTCTCCCATTTGATCATTTGCCATGTCAGGCGTATACCATCCACCGAGATATTGTCAATGCGAATATTTTCGCCCGGCTTGGAGGGTATCATTACCTCAAAATTGTTGATATCGAAATATTGTGTCAACGGCTTATCGTTGCCTCGAACCAAAGCATTTTTCGACTCAATAATAAAATGATAAAACTCCTGATTGCGATCCTTTAGAGATATATTACAAATCACCAAACTGCGATCATCATAGTTACAGGCCGGTTGGAAGATGTAATTGGGCATATCATGGTAATAGGTTACATTGTAGGTTGTCAGTATGGGATTTGGTGGCTTGGTGAAATTGCAGATCATGTGATCGAAATCATAGCTACTGCAGCTAAAATTGGTCACCGGCTTGGGCGGTGTGCCCACAAATACTTTGGTCTCCATAATGGCATCGGGACCACATTTACAACGATATTCGGTTTGTTGTTCGCTGGCATTGCGTACCATATACACGATGCTCGATATATTTTGTATGATGATATTCTCCCGCGGCAGTTCGACATTTGTGCGGCCATTAACAAAATACAAACTGGTGGAGTTTTTCCGCGGAAATGCCTTGGGATTCATGTAACAGGTGATGTTGAACGAATCTCCAATGGCCGCCTCGACGGTGAACGGATGTGTCTCGCCAGGATGATGATAGAGGGCACGACTTTCCCTGCGGAAACCATGGCATGGCGATGACAAGAACAATAACAGCACCTTCAGTGTGTTAACGAAGATTATTTTATTGATATTAGTCATGATTGTTTATGTTTGGTCGTAGTAGTTTTTTCCACCAAAATATTTGTTATTTTTCAAAATCTATCCACTTTTCAGGATTTTTCAGCCCCCCAAAAGACCTTTTAGCCACCTCCAGTACACTCTTTTTGGGTAAATTCCAGCTAAAACCAGTTCATGTAGATATACGTGATTTCAAATTCGTTCCTAGAATCCGTTTAATTTTAGTGTGTGTTTTTCTTGGAATTTGAATTTTCTTCACTCGATAATTTTGCAATTTTTGCCAAGGATCTTTAACGATTCTTCATTTTCTTGCTGGAATTAGATACTGGACGTAATACACTATTCATTTTATTAAGTTTTCATTGGACTTTTCACAGATTTCTTGTCTTTAATGGGCACTTAAATTTTCAAAATTCTTGGAAATTTGTTTGCTTGTGTCTCTCCTTTGTTGTTGTTGTTGTTTCGCTTTTTTGGCTTGCGAGTGCGATAGCACGACTCGATGCTCTCAATGTTTACATTCGAATGACATTTGTTGTATGAGTTTGTTTCAATCACAATAGTAGAGGTTTTTTTTGTTTTGCTTGCTCAAACAAACAGTGTTGCCGCGTGTTGGCATTTATGTCCAAAAGTTGACATTAAAAAAATGTAAAATATATGGGTTGGGAAGATTTTTTATTTATATACATGGCACAATTACAGAAGGTAGAACAAAGCATGGTATAATAAGGAGGTAGAACAGCTATGTAAAACAGAAATATAGCCCTGAGGCTATGCCCGCTTTCTGTTTTCATTTTTCACATTTGTCCTTATTTTTAAAATAAATGAGTTAGTGTGAAAAATGAATGAAATGACTGATTTTTTTCTGAAAAATATGATCCAAACTGTTCAACCTTTAATTTCATGGCATAACTGGTCAATAGCTTTAAAGCGCGAGCCGCAATGTACGTGTCTCCCAATCATTGGTTTTGAAATTTTTTCATTTATCAAAACAATAAATACATACACAAGATTGGCAGAAATCGGGCACACTTAGAAAAAAATTGTAATCAGCTGGTAGCTCTACCTTACCTTTTTATTGTACCATGGAACAAAGCCCCTAAATACAATTTTTTTTCTTTTGGTGCCCTTATTCTGTCAAACATATTTACATTTTGTGTATGTGTGTGTATTGTTTTGAATAAAAAATACAATAATTTGAAATTATTTCAAATTTGGTTGCAAAATAAATGGTTGCAAATTTTCAACGAAATGGGTAACAAATTGCACAATTTTGTTATAAAACTTTATTGTCCTACTTTTTTAGATTCCTCCTCGTGGAATAACCCCGAAATTCCATTCTTGTTTCGCGGGGTTTTCCCAATAAAAAATTGTTAAAAAGAATTAAAAATAAACAAAGCCAACTGTTGCATATTTAAGTCTATTTGATACTATAAGACTCCAGCACAGAGTTGCATTTTTCTAGTTTCTTTGAAGTTGAGCAAACTTTCTTATTGAGCCATGATATCTTCACAAAAGATCTAGGGTTGGTAAAAACATTGAGATATACGAAGTTAAAAGAAATCAGTGACTGGATTCACATATTGCGAGAGTCATAATTATTCAAAAATGTTAACTCTTTGTGGGGGAAGTACAAGAAAGAGTAAACCAATATTGTCCGCACCTGAACTAGCACTGACACAAATATTAGCAAGGTTTAAACAAAATCGAATAATTGCTTCTCCTTCTAGGAGGTAATTTTTTCTTTTTTAGGAAAGGTACCAGAAGGAGTGAGCCAATATTTTTTATTTTTTCGATATCATATTGGAAAACTAGTTATCGCAGCAAGCCTTTTTAAATTCTTGTAGTTCTGGTACAGACTAAAAATTAACAAAATAAAACTAAATGTAAAATAATTACATAAAAAATTCATTTACTTGTTAGAATGTCATTTATTTGGGTGTATGAATGTTAATATGTGCTGTGTTCCAGAACCTCATTACAATAAGTTTATCGAAATGCAATTCAACATTTTGTATAAAAAATCCTTCAAAATTGTTAACATTTTTGAAAAATACATACATATATGCTCTGTTCCAGTACCTGCAAAAGTCTATTAGTTTTGCAATTTTCTTCGATATCATAAAGGGAGAGTCGGTTCTCGTAGTAAAAACTTTTAAATTCTTGTAGTTCTGGAACAGACCAATATATTGATCCGTTCCAGAACCTGCAAGAATCTACTAGTTTTGAACCTTTTTTCGATGTCCTGAAAATCCGTTATCGTAGTAAAAAATTCACATTTTTGCAGTTCTGGAACAGACCAAATTACAACCTCTGGATGAAATTAGGTAAACATTTAAAAATCAATTTATTTTTCGAAGAAATAGTTTTGTGTATTTCCATGGTACAATAAAAAGGTAAGATAGAGCTACCAGCTGTTTACATTTTTTTCTAAGTGTGCCCGACTTCTGCCAATTTTGTGTAGGTATTTATTGTTTTGAAAAATAAAAACAGAATATTTTTGAAAATTAATGATTGGAAGGCGTGTAAATTGCGAGACGAGCATTAAAGCTATTAGAAGAATATAGGTAGGCGCGTCGACACAGCTGCTGGGACAATGAACTGTCAAACCAATTTTGGAATTGAAAATGTTGAATGAAAAATTATTTAAATTTGTAAAAATTTTTGAAAAACGCGAATTATAATAGCCTCCAAATGACGTAGTATAAGAAAACATATAAAAATCTACTTATATTTGAGAAAAATATTTAAATTTTTTTGACACATCAATGCTCCCAAGCGTTGATGCATCTACCTGTATTCTTCTGTCATGAGCTATTCGCTAGTTTTGCCATAGAATTGAAAGATAGAACTGCCCATATCATATTTTTGAAAGAAAATTCAGGCATTTCATTCACTTTCCCCGCTGTTTAATTGATTTAAAAAAATGAGGAAAAATATTGAATAAATGAAAACAACTTACTATATTCAAATTTGACAGGAAACGGGCATAGCCTCAGGGTTGTATTTCTGTAATTTTACGAAACTGTTCTACCTCCTTATTGTACCATGTCTATTTCTATTTCTACCAGTTTTGCCATTTTTTTGGTTTCTAAATTTCTTGTGTATATACCTACATTATTCCACCATGTTTCGATGCAATAAAATATCGATTTATCGATTAATCAGAGCTCAAAGTTATGTCATCCCAGTAAAATCAACAAACAAAAACCAGCCCGCCAGAACGCGAAACAGGAGGAAAGAATATGTTTTATTTTCTAAATTTGTATGGGTTAGTTACGAATTAGAATGGATTAAAAAAATCGGTGAAAATAGTTTTAATGGGTGAAGGTGTTTTTGGATGACAGACTGAGAAAGGCGAATGGAAGCTTGCGCGGCTAAATTTGTTCACGATAACAACCCAACATACCAATTTGACTTGAGAATAATTTGATTAGATATATATTTAGAAGAAAAAAATATTTTATTAAAGAATTATATAAAAATGACAATAACTCACAATTAATACACTTTATAATTAAATATATATTATACATAAATTTATGAAGGATGATTTTTTTTTGAAAAATACTCTTATGCTAAATCATTGCATCATTTTAGATATTTTTTCCAAACATGCGTTGCGGGGCTATTACTGAACCCTTGCTCGACTCTTCCATTTTAAATTGCACCAGTATTATGACATACGACGATATAAGCAACAGTATCTGTAACCAAATAAGAAGAAAACAGCTGAGTATATCCATGGTAGAATCAAGGAGGTAAAGTCATGTAATCATATGTTTACAATTTTTTTTTTTCAAAAATTATTTGACAACCACTCATTGTCATTTACAAATCCATGGCACGTACACAAATCAGAGGTGGGAACCTGTTTTTATGTAGTGAATTGTGACAAGGTAAATTACAGAAAATGTAGAGATCGGAAAGTTTATTTGAAATGACTTTACCTTCTTAATTTTACCATGAGTATATCATTGAAACACAAAATAGATATTTGACATACTCACTTTTCCATAACATTTGAAATCGATGTCCATATAACCATTGCAGGTAAAAACTAGCTTTTGATGCATCATTTGCATTGAGTATTCACGCAAACGCATAAATAAATCACATTCATCGGATGAGATATTTACATTGTGGATCAATGCACCGATGGAGTTGTACTGTAATTTTGTGGAAAAGTTTTAGGTTAGGTCAATGGCAAAACTAAAGCTGCTATCAGACGGCAAGGGTTTTACATATGTAGTGTCAAATTTTCCATACGCACACAACGTGTGATACATGGACGATATTTCAGTTATGAAATACATGACGAAAGTCAGGGTAAAAGAATAAAGGTAGTCTCATCGATGCAGCTGCTGGGACAATGTAGTGTCAGACCAATTTTGAAAATGAAAATTATTCAAATTTGTAAGAACTAATAAAAAATACATATCATAAAAACCTCGTATTGACATCGTATAGGAAAACATGTGTAAATATACTTATTTTTGAAGAAACATTTAATTTTTTGTATATAAATGTTCTCAAGCGTTGATGCATCTACCCATGGTACAATAAAAAGGTAAGACTTCTGTAAATGTATTTATTGTTTTGAAAAAAAAAAAAAAAAATATATATATATATATATATATATATATATATATATATATATATATGTCCAGCGATAGTTCTGGGGACATGTTTTCGATACAATGATATTTTTAGGGACATTTTAGTTTTTTGGGGACAGTCCCCGATAAATTATAGATCTAGCGGAAGTTTTGGGGACATTCAACTTTTGGGGACATTTTATATACAAATTGAGTTTGATTGCTTTTTAGGAATATCTGCTTAATATTATTCCTTATGTAAAAGAAATACCTTTATATACATCGGTAATATCAATTTTTTTATAAAATTAAATATTTTATGTTGGGCAGAGTTGCCGTGTTTCGGAAAATTTTCCGAGGCCACTAACACCGTTCTCAAACGATGCTAACGCCGTTATCAAACAAACTAGCGCCGTTATCAAACAATACAAACGAGCTTTGCCATACATGTTTACATTATGTTAAAAAGTAGTAAATAAACATCAAAGTCCCTAAGTTTGACATGAAATTGCATAGATTGCCGATATATGTGATGTATATTGGTCAAGGTTTGTTTATATGGTTTGCCGGTAAGGCCAGCTGTAGTCTTCATTGAATGTCAAAATTAATTTTTCGAAGAATAAATATACGAAAAATATATTTATTCCAACAAAAGTATACGTGCACAATAATACTATTGTGATATTCCGAAAGATATTTTGTATTTTTACCTTGTTATGGTTGATTTTTCGCGATGTAAACGCTTGACAGCACAGGAAAACTAAGGCATGAATTCGCCTCCCGGTAGACCTTATATATAGGCAATGAATCAAAGCAAAAATAAATGAAATATTTTTCAAAACATCGGAACTGTTTAGTCGTAAGTCACTCGAATAAGAATCTCTTTATGAGTCGATTTACGCATGTCCCTCTGTCCATGTATTATTGTAAACCAAATGC